GATACCCGTATTTCTTCTTGCTCTAAATGCCCTGGCTAGAATACTAGTACTAGTTGAATAGGAGGGACAGAAGTGGGCATTCTTGTCTTGTTACTAATCTTAGAGGGAAACTTAGTCTTTCACAATTTAGTATAATAGCTGTGAGCTTTCATTATCCTGAGGTAGATTCTTAGTTTGTTGAGTGTATCGTGCAAGGATGTTGAATTTTGTTCAAAGCTTTTTTTTACATGAATTTGAGATGGTCCTGTGGTTTTTGTCCCTTGTTTTGTTTACTGTATTGATTTCATTTGCAACCATCTTTATATTCCTGGAATAAATCTTACTTGGTTGTGTATATATTTTTCCATATGCTGTTGAACTGGTTTCCTGGTATTTTGTTGAGGGTTTTTGCATCAGTATTCATCAAGGATTCTGGCCTGTAGTTTCTAATAGTGTCTTTGTCTGGCTTTCGTGTCAGGGTAATGTGAATCTCACAGAATGAGTTGGGAAGTATTCTCTTCAGTGTTTTTTAGGAGGAGTTTGAGAAGCATTTGTGTTAGCTTTGTTTAAATATTTGTGAGAATTCAGTGAAGCCTTTGTTGGGCGTTTTTCCCCCTTCTGTTCTCTTAAATCTTAAAAAAAAAATTAATCTTGAGAGAGAAGGGAAGGAAGGGAGAAAGGGAAACACCAATGTGAAACAGCAGCATTGATCAGGTGTCTCTCAAAAGCGCCCCACCTGGGGACTGAACCCACAACCCCAGGCCATGTGCCCTGACTGGGAATCGAACCAGCAGCCTTTCACTATGCAGAATGGCCAACTGAGCCACACTGGTCAAGCCTCCCTCCATCCCCCTCTGTTATTAAAACTGAGATATAATTGTGTTGAGAGGTTTTTGATGACTGATTCAGTCCTGTTGCTATTACTAAATAGGTCTGTTCACACTTCATATCGTGATTCAGTCTCCGTAGGTTGTGTTTCTAGGAATTTATTCATTTCATCTAGGTTATCCAATCTGTTGGCGTACAATCATTCATAGTAGTGTTATAATCCTTTTTCCTTTTCTAAACTTGATAGTAATGTTCCCTGAGTTGTTTCTGAGTTTTGTCATTTGAGTCTTCTGTTTTCTCGCTTGTCAATCCAGCTAAAGATTTGTCAATTTTATTGATCTTTTTGAAGAACCAAATCTTGGTTTCATTGACTTTTGCCTCAAGTTTTTTCTCTGATCATTGTTCCTTCTTTCTGCTAGCTTTAATTTGTTCATTTCCTACTTCTTGCAGGTGTAAGTTCAAGTTTTTGCTCTGGGGACTTTTCTCCTGTATAGCTACAGATCACCCTCTTAACCTGTTTTCACTGCATCCCATAAGCTTTGATATGTTATCTTTTAATTTGTCTCAAGATATTTCCTAAATTCCCTCTGATTTGTTCTTTAACTCCTGATTTCCACATATTTGTGGATTTTCTAGTTTTCCCTCTGTTGATTGCTTATTTATGTTCATTGTGATCAGGAAATACACTTTACCATTTCCAAGTTTTTAAAAATGTATTCAAACTTGTTCCGTGGCCCGCCACCACGCTCCATCCGGGGGAGATGTTCCATGTGCGCGTAAACACACATCTGCTGCTGCTGCGGGTACGGTGTTCTGTTACTGTCTGTTACGTCCAGCTGCGCTGTAGTGTTGTTCGCGTCTTCCGTTCTTCACTGATCTTGTTCCATTACTGAAAATGGGGCAGTGAGTCTTCTGTATTTCTGTTACCATCTCTCTCTTTCTTCAATTCTGCCAGTGTTTCATATGTTTAGGAGCTCTGGGTTTTGATGCGTATACGTTTATAGTGGTTCTGTCATCTTGGTTAGTTGTCCCTTTATCATTAATGTCCTTCTTTGTTGTCATAGTTTGAGACTTCAGTGTACTTTCTAAGATTGTAGTATATCTGTTGTTTTAGACCATTCGAGGTTACCTCTTGGGAGTAGAGACGTGGGATGGTAAAGTCCCATTAACACTGCCGTAGAGGCAGTTGAAATGGACCGAGAAGAGCTAGCCTTGAAGCGGGAAGGCCGCATCTGCCGCCCCCAAGAAATGTCCATCCCGTCATGGACAGAAGGGATGATGCACGCGAGCTTGACCTTGAATGAACCCGGCCTTTCTCTGCACCACAGACACTGTGGTGAATGGGTACAGTGGCCCTATCAGAAGGGTTTGGCCAGGATTCAGGAGAGAAGTGTAGGAGTTGGGAAGGATTTAGGGGGAAAATAGTTTTCCTAAGGGTTTCCCCCCCACCCACCCCCCCCCCAATACTCGCCTGAAGACATGCTCACTGATTTCAGAGACAGAGTGGGAAAGGGAGGAAGAGAAAATCAGACCCATTTCCTCTTATGTATACCCCAACTGGGAACTGAACCCACAACCTTTTGGTGCATGGGAAGACCCTGCAACCAACTGAGCTACCTAGCCAGGGCTCCCTATATTAATTATGGGTCAAAGTATGAGGAATGTTGTAAGCTAGGTCCCAAATTAAGACCAAGAAAAAAATATCATCAGATCAGAGATTTCCCTTATCTATTCTCCCTTTAATATATGACCTCTCCTTTTTTCAGTACAAGTTCCTAAAATGTAAAAGCGAGCCACACGTGAAGATTGAAGGAAAGGACACTGAAGACTGGATGTGTGTGGACTTTGGTAAGTTGTTTGGGCACATCTGAAAGATAAATATTTGGCATTGCATTAACCTTGAACTATTTTCAGTCACAGAAGGATTGAGATCAAATTGCCCAGTCTTCTCCCCATGTAAAATTCTAGATTTTTCAATGGAAATTTTTTTAAAGATTTATTTATTTTTAGAAAGGAGAAGGGAAGGAGAAAAAGAGGGAGAGAAACATCAGTGTGTGGATGCCTCTCCCACACCCACTACTAGGGACCTGGCCTGCAATCCAGGCATGTGTGCTGACTGGGAATCGAACCCATGACCCTTTGGTTCGCAGACCAGCAGTCAATCCACTGAGCCACACCAACCAGGGCTCCATGTAAACTGTTTGAAATGTTTCATTATAAGCCAGGTGGTCTTACATGTGAAATGCTCAGCTAACCTCGTATGTACATAATGAGTCAGGTCAGGAAGATGATGGCAAACAGGATGTGTACCAGGGTAGAGATGGGAGAGGATCCCTTAGTGGTGGTAGAAGGCTTGGTCTTCCTAACCTTGGTCTTAAATAACCTGGCCAAGGTGAAGCTGAAGGGCATTCCAGGTACAGGACTGGAATTTTAAAAAGACCTAACAGATTTGGGTATTAATACATACATAGTTTCAAAGTATTTTCACACAAGAACACAAAAAAGTAACGCCAAGAACTATGAGGGGGTCTGAGATTTTATCTTACTCGTAAACTAACAAGTTAGCCAGCCAGTTTCATGGATATTGGTAAAAGACTCAAGACTATTCAAGACTATTCCAGGTGGAAGTTGAAGGGCAATTTATTACAGCAGCAGTAGCCAGCTGCAGCATTTTTACACTGGGTGCCCCGGGCCCCAGACACAGTTCTAAGAGGAACCCTGAGATTAGGGTTTACAGTGGGCAAGAGGGAGGCCTGCATTTGCTCTGGTGGAAGACGCTTTTTCTGGCAAAGCTGTAAGTCAGGGTTTCCCAGCTTTGTCACGGTTAACATTTGGACCAGGTAAGTTCAGTAGGAGTGGGTAGGACTGTCCTGTGCATCGTAGGATGTTTAGCAGTATCCCTCCCTCTTTCTCCGCCCCCAATTGTGAACATCAAAAATGCCCTTGATTGAGAACCATTGCTATAAGCAAACCTGCCTTTTGCTCCAGAGAGAGAATATCTCTTTGTGGCTATTCACCATAAACGTCCTTGAAAAAGATAGCCCAGAACAAAAGGCAGGCAGTGCTTTGCTCATAGGATGTGCAGAAATGTGACACATTTGGAGACTTGTCTCCCAAGAGAAAGGCAACAGGCCTCACTGTTAGTCACTTGGATAAAGTTACATTGAAGTTTAACGTGAGTGATGTTACGTACCAATATCATGTGCCTCCTCTGTGATGCACCGAGCAAAGCACAGCGGCACCTCCCCGGTCTTCTGCTGGCTGGGGTCCACAGTTTGCAGTTCCTACAAGTTCCCAGGTGATGCTCGTCTGTGGTCCACACTTAGCCACTGCTTGAGGTCCTGTGGTTACACTGAGTGACAAACTATCACAGAGGGTCGTGAGGTCACAAGAACAGCAGCAAACAGACTACTTCTTCATTGTCACTCTTATCTGTCCATGACAGGCAGCATGGTGATTCACTTGATGCTTCCAGAAACCAGAGAAAAGTATGAACTAGAGAAATTATGGACCCTACGTTCTTATGATGACCAGTTAGCTCAGATAGCACCTGAGACGTTGCCTGAAGACTTCATTCTTGGACTAGAAGATGACACTTCTTCCCTGACTCCAGTGGAGTTCAAATGTGAATAAAATACTGTTTTAGTCATTTCAGATTGAGACTGAGTCACTTCTCAAAATACAGCTCATAAACCCCACCTAACTGGGTAAGTTGTTGTCAGAACAAATCCTCTGACTGCGGGCACTCGCGCTGACCGACACCTGGATGTGCAGACTGCAGGTGAGTGAGCGTCAGCTACAGTTCTAGGCACGTCTTCATCGCTGATATCCCAGCAGGAGTCCTTGGGGCTCTCATGGGGTCCTGTGCTTCACTTGAGCTCTCTGCTCAGATTTTAACTAATTTTGCTTGAGTAGTAAGTATTATTACGTAGAATAGAATAGCCAAAATTTTAATAAAGCAAAACACACATAACCACCCCACTGTTCCTATTACTCAAAGCTTATAGTTCTTAGTTCATATGCAACAGTATTATCAAGATTTACATTCAAGTACCATGGAATGGAGAAAATAATTTACCACTAGGTATTGGTGCTTAACTTGAGATTACATGGTATTACTCAAAGTCTGTTTAAATGTATAAGTTATATTCACATTTGAAAAGACCAAAAATAAAACATACTACACATCAAGCTGCACCTAATGATGAAAAACTTTATTCTGTATCAAGGTATCTGGAAATTGAAGCTGCATTTGGGGCACATTACAAATGAGGAATGATCCATATGCAGTGAGTACAAACTCAGTTACAGAATTATTTCCTAGCTACTACCAGATACTCCATTACCAATGCTTCATTGAAAGTAAAACATGATTTGCCACACTAAAAAGGCTAGAAGTGAAATATGACAGAATTTAAACCAGCAGATATAAATGTAGCACCTATCTGTATTAAAACAACAAAACATACCAACAAATAGTGGAGAAATCAAATGCTGAGGAAGAGCTCTGGCCATAAGCACATCTCACCTAAGAACCAACCCAAAAGCCAGTCCATGATTTTTATTTTTTAAAGCAATTTACTGTTCGGGGAGAAAAAAAGTATGAATGCTAGGTGAATTCAGTGACAAAAAGGGCACTTTTTGGCTAAAACTACAAAATAAACTGGTTTTCTGAAAACATTTCAAGTCATTTTCAAAATGTCTGATATGCTGGTTATCAGAAAAACTTACCTAGTCTGTAGAAATTCATCTTGAAATACAAATGAGGCAAAATGATTTTTGAGGGGTTATTACATATGTCCTTCAGATCCATGTAACAGGATGACTGTGAACATTTTAGGAACAAAAGCAACACAATTCTGAGAGCAGTGTGGCCTTGGAGACCCCCACAACCACATGAACGTACATTCTGGCCTTTGCCATAGAGTTACGGGATAGACAAATGAGTTCGGTATCAAATGTTGAATGTTTTTTCACAGTCATTCAAACTATATTCCCAAAATCGTTTTCTCACAATAGCTGGTTGCAGAGAATACAGAAATCCTGCTGCATTTTATGTATTACTTTAGGTGGCCTTTCATTTTCCTCGACTTATCCTTGTTTACAAATCTTCCAAACAGCTTAGCGAGGCTCATGACAGTGCCTGGCACATGCAGATACAGCCTTTCACTGCCTTTGCACGGTCACACCACCTGACTGCCCCGGCGGTCTCCACAAAGCAGTTCATTTGGGGTCTGCGCAAAGGGTAGCCCAACTGCTCTGAGGTGTGCTGGCGAGCTAAGCATCCTCTAAGACAAGCTGAGTCTTGCTTTTTGCCAATCAGTTCACAGTCCACAGGGGCTGCTTCTCTCCACTGACGCACTTTCTTTAGGTAGTGATAGTCAGAAGCACAAACGCTTATGCATTCAATCACATAGCCAAACAAAAAATGAAGTCTCCTGAAGCCATTTAAACTAGCCATTCCAAAACCACCTGCTACCACTTTGCTCTGTTAGTACCATCGAAAACTTTCCCTACCGAAAACGGGAAAAAAAAAATGGTATTGCTGCTCTCCAAATATAGGCACTGCTCCATGTCACTGAACATTTATTGTATTTTCCAACTAATAACTGTCAAAAGCCTCAAAAAACCTGAAATTAATTTTCCAGCTTTACTGTCACCAGAAGTAAAATTTCTGTTATTTTCCTGTTAGCTAATTAAATTTTATTTTTTTAAAAAACAGTTGGACTTATCTTTATAAAGTATATAAAATTTTCAAAAAAAAAAACAAAACAAAAACAAAAATTGCTTTCATTGCATTACTGAATACCTGAGGTAGTTGAGTAAAAATGCACATTTAATACCCCTGCCAACACCATTCAGCACTTCCCTTATGTTATTCATGTTAGTGTCAGGTACACACACAACAGACAGTTTTTCTATGCTAGTAGCTTAACATATTTCAGTTCCTGTATCTCTTCTGACTCAGGAGCAATCGATTTGTGTTTATTTGATGGGTTTATCGAGTGCATCATGGAGCCAATGTCTTGCATCATGGGGGAGTATTAAGAAAAATTAGAACATTTGTTACACTGAGAATACAACAAAAGGGAAGTGCAGAGCTCCTCTCTTTTCGTCCCTCCCCCCCTTTTTTTTTTCTTTTTAAAGCTGGGTGTCACACATTTCAGAGAGCATAAAGTATACATTCTCACAGAGACAGGAGTTCGAAAGTCGCCTGGTCCTCAGAAACAAGTGGCTAGGTAGAAACGTGTGCATGTGATTCTGGACGGGGGTTCGGCCGCCCGCCTGTTGGTTAAGCAATCCGTCTTTGGTTTGGCGTCTGCCTCTGTGCTGGGCTGTTTCCTGAGCCTTTACTTCCGTCTTGACTGAGGTGGTCCACTTTGCAGAGCTTTCTGCTGTTGGTGCTGCTTTACCTGAGTCAGAATTTCCTGAATTTTTCTCTGGGCAACCTACAAAAGGACAGCACTTTGAAATTTCTACCTGGTCAAAGGTGTTCTACTTTTCCATTTCAAGAACTTCATATAGAAGTTTATTTGGAGATTAATTATACATACTAATTCGTTTAGTTTGCTAGTAGGTAGTAGGGTCTCTGGCATAACCTACTAAAGCAGGGACTGAAAGTGTTTGGCACTAGAATCGGCAGGCCCTGTGCTGGAGGCGTAGGCAGAGGCAGGCATGGGACCTCTGGGGCAGGGTCTCAGGAAGTGGTGGCAGCTGCATGTCCTGCGCAACGGTGGCAAGAAGCCACCCCTGGAGCAGCCCAAGAAACAGGCCAAGAAGATGGATGAGGAAGATAAGGCATTCAAGCAGAACACACTCCAGGAGCTAAACTGCCCCCCACAGGTGGAATTGAGAAATCTGACAAAAAGTGAAGCTGTTCTGGTTCCCGGGGCGATGGCAGTCCCTAATTCCATTCCTGTTTAACATCTGGATTTCCCATCATAACTTTCGCCACCTACAGCCACAGTGCAGTGTTGTCTTGGAGCCTTTTGTACATTTCAGAACAAGCTTTGTATAAAATAAATCGTCATCATCATGCAGTGGCTCGTCTCTTTACCCCTTCTCTGCCGTTTCAACCTCAGCTGTGAGGTCAGAGTAAACCCAGCCCAGAATCCTGTCAAAGTGTGTTCTTCAGTCTTTGTTCTACCCTGAATTCTCTACTGCCTGGAACCAACTCATTTGAAAAACAATAAAAATCAATAAATTAAAAAAAAGGTGTTTGGCACTAAACAATTTTAAATATTTATGTGGGGTAGGGGCACCCATAGGAAAATTGCTTCCCTTTGAGAAAGAAGCAACAAACTAACTTATCATGTGAGAACCCACTTGCCTGGCAAGCATAGAAGTGACCAGTTATTTTGACCACCACTTGATCATTCTCATCAGGCGTCTGGTCACGGGGGACAACAACTTCTGCACTAGACAAATTCTGGAGCTCATTCACCTGAAAAAGATAAATACAAATTGTCAAGTTGTGTTTTCAAGCTGCCACATGCAGAGCACCTCCTGTGTGCCAAACACTAGCTACAGCTCCACAAATTCCAACCCATCCACTAATGATCCCGTCCAGTTTTGAATACTGTCCCCGTGGCAAGATGATGAACACTGTGGCTTAGCCAAAGAAACTGACTTGCCTAGAGTTATAGAAGGGAACAGAAAACAAAATTCAAACCCTGAGAGTCTGCTTCCAAAGTGTTCCCTCTCAATCACTTGAAAATTGTAAATAGCTTTGAAAACAACATAGTTACACGTATTGGGTTAGCCAAAAAGTTTGGCTAGTTTTTTCTACATGATGACTCTAGTAGGGCTTAGGTGTCTTTAATTTCATTTGAAACAGTTTTGTTTAGATTCTATTGTGACACCTGTCAAGTCAGCCTGCCTTTAAAAAAAAAACATCAAAATTGGTGAATTTTTGTGCAGCCACTTTAATATTGAAAATGGAAGAAGATAATGCAACATTTTTGGTGTATTATGCTTTATTATTTCAAGAAAGGTAAAAACGCAATTGAAACGCAAATAAAGATTTGTGCAGTGTATAGAGAAGGTGCTGTGACTGACTGAAGGAGTCAGAAGCGGTTTGTGAAATCTCCTGGTACTATTGACATTTTAGCCAAATCTTTGCTGTGTGGCTGGTCTTACGCACTGGAAGGTGTTTAGCAGCATCTGCCCACTAGAAGCCAACAGCAGGAGACAGCAGACATACTCAAAATATCCAAATCAATAAAGTTATTGGTGAAAATGAAAACATGTCTTATTTTGCAGAAAGAAATTAAACAGACTTTTTGACCAACCCAATATTAAAGAAAAACTGGAAACCATTTTCTTTCTTCAGTTATAGAAGTACAAGTTATAAAGGTAGACGAAATTTAAAAATTTTTTCTTACGTCATTGTGCAATAAAAATGTAAAAAGCTGAGTTATGTCAGCCGAAAAATGCTAAATGCCCCTTGTAAGTATGAGAGTCTTCTCACACAAAGCAGTCAGAGAAGTCTTCCTTCCACCAGCAGCTGACACCAGCACTGACACAGGAGGAGCCGAAGGCAACCTCCTCCAAACCTTGGCCCAGGCGGTCCTGCTTTTTACACATCAGCCACAACTCAGGGACTTGGAACTCCCAAGTACTTTTCAGCGCTCTCCCTCTCATACCACTGCACAGGTTTTGCTGAAGTACTTGCCGTTTTGCCTCCTTTTCCAATAACTCTGCCAGCAGCAAAGGATGGCACTCTGATGTGAGCTTCAAGTTTCACCTCTTCTTTAGGACTAACAAAGTTTTCTTCTTTAATTTTTCCATAAATTCTTCCCTGAGCCTACAGATGAAAACACCATCTCAGCATCATTCCCGCTGGAGATACAAAAGGTCCCTGAACGTTAAGGACGGCCCAGACGTGCTGGATCGGCCCTCCGCCGTGACACGTCCACGCGGGGCAGGCTGAAGACCACTTACGAGACAGAGAAGTTAGAGAGCCCTGGGAAAGGTCGACAGTACTGCGCACCCCAGACCAGGCGGTTGAACAGCTGATGACAGAATAACCCATATTCTTCTGACAGCGGTTAAAGGCAGTTAATTAGTTGTCATCGCAACTAAAAATAAACCACTTTAGTGGTCAAATGGCCATTTGCCCCCCACCAAGTCGAAACCACTCCTACAGTCAATAAGGAAGCAATTCTGTTTTTCTTGAGCAAAGGAGACTAGGGAAGAACGGCAGAGCCAGCTGTGCCAGGCTCAGAGAGAAACTGCTGAGAGGGGTCGTTTGTTTCCTCCTCTTTGCCAGGTGGTTTCTACTTGGAGTCATAAAGCTCCAGAATCAAGTTAACATTAGCATCTGATATTTACAGTCAGCGCACCCTGTCACCTACTGCGTACAACTGGAAGTTCCATATAAGAAACCGCTCCCAGGATGGACTACCCGTGAGTTGCTCTGCCTGACACTAAAGGAAACAGAAATCAGAGTTGGTTTCATTTGACAAGCTGCCAGGGCAAACCACAAACTAAAGTACCCAACACATTTTCACTGGTGCAGAAATAATACGCTCATTTGAGGCGGGTACAGGGGAAAAAAGCAAACCCAAATCCAATCTTGGTATGTATTCCATTTATCCTCAATTTCAGGCCACGGGTATAGCCATTAACACAGAGGACACTGGGGACATACGTCATCCTCCAAAACAGAAGCTCCAGAATGAATTCATAGGAAAAAATACGGGTTAGGAAGTTTACTCTTCCTGAGATCTCTAAATAATTCTCTTTGTAATCATCTGTTTGTAATCATCTGTGGTCACAAAAGTGAGATTTAAGCATTAGAGCTCCTCTTAAACGTTCCATTTAAGACAACTGCACAGTGTGGGCCTTGGAGGATGAAGGGAAACAAACTGGATTTCCCAGCATTCAAGCATTATAGAAACTGCACCGTGGAAGCACTGAGCACCGAGAGGGAACGAGTAATAACTGATGGTTGCCTGTATCTTTTAAGATTTCAAACTAAAAGTGGTTGATCCCATAAGTTCAGGATAGGAAGCAATTTTCAACATGTCTGACTTATAATTTGAACTCCCTGCGTGGACCACAAGGCTGGTGTGAGGGAGTCAATTTCTTGACCTGAGTTTGAGCCTAGACAGCCTGCACCCACACATCTCAAAGCAGCTCCTTTTGTTTCCTGTTCTCCCTGCAAATGAAGTGAATTTGTATTTTTAGAGAAAAATGGCCCATTGAAAACACAGGTCAAAGAAAGTGAGGATTTAAAATGTAGGGGGAGGGGACTTGTCGGCACTATTTTTAGCCATGTTAGAGCTAAGGGAACTCAGGTTTGAGAGTTGTCCTGTACACAGCAGCGAAGTGGTAGGAATATGACATGGGTTTGGATACATTGGTTTCTTTAGAATTCAGTAGTTGCTTTTTACCGATGACAAAGACACTAAGTTTTATAGAAGAAATCATATACTCAAAGGTATGTATTTGTGAATTTGAGGATTTGGCAGGGCCTTAGTCTGATCTACCCCGAGTCCGTTGCATACCACCGACACCACGTTTATATTGTGCCTCCTGTGTGTTGCACGCCATTCTAAGCACTTACATATGGTTTAAACTTTCAATCCCCATTTCATGGATGAGGAACTAGCAAGAGAAAGGTTAAGTAGCTTGTGCAAGGTCACGAGCTGGTGAATGGTGGAGCTGGGAGTTGAACTAGCAGCCGGGCCGCTAAGTGTCTGCTCTTTATCACCCAGCTGCACCACCGTTCAGTATACACGTGACGCGTTCCGGCTCCATGGGCCCCGAACCCCAGTACTGTGAGCAGTGGTTCACCAGGACAAATGCCACCAACAGCCTGTAACATGTGAAGGGTTAGAGGAGCTTCGTGGGGAAACAAACTACAGACAAGGACTAAGAGGTACTCCGAGGGTGAGATGAAAGGGGAGCGTTTTAATGCAAGGTTAAGGCTTCTCGGGGACAAGAACAATTAGGGAACAGGTTTTCCAAAGCATATTAACCAGGCAGCTTTGTAAAGTTCCGCCTTAAGGTCTCACCTTCACATCCGATAACGAGGCACTGAGCAAACGCTCTTTCAGGGAGCTAGGTAAATCCAAGTCCAGCAACCCCTGCAGAGCTCTCAAAATTAAAACAAAGGCTTTTGGTTTATTTTTGAAATGTAATTTGGGTTGTTTCTACTGTGTTCTTAGTCTTAGGAATGTCCAGTGAGAAACTGTTTCTCATAAATGTATGAGATCCATGTAAGGGAGACACCAGGCCATGGAGGTCCTGGAGAGAAGGCATCACAGTCTCCGCATCCATTCCTCTGTTGCCCGTGCACGGACTCGAGAGCACATACCTTGAACTGGGCCTCTGGCGGCCCGGTGATAATCACCATCCTCACTTTAGCATCGGGGGCTTCAGCTGGAGCAATCTGTAACAGACCATCGAGGGGTTACGACACTGTCAGGTGGCAGTGCCAGAGAGGTTCCGCTAACAAGCCTGACTGAAGAAGTGTAGAATGAAAGCCTTCTGGAAGGAAGTTACAAAGAGGCAGCGATTAATGTGGGTTTATTAGTAATGGCTCCTGCCACATACTTGTCCTTACACTGTGCCTGGTCCTGATGTAAATGTCCATCTGCAGTCAGGCCCTCGGCGCATCCTCACTACAACTTGATGAGGTGTGCTGCCTCTCCTGCGTGTACGGGCAAACTGGAGGCTGCAGAAGCTGAGTTACCAGGCCCAGGGACGCACGGCTGATAGAGCTGGAGGGAGAGCTGGGTCTGCGTCTCCTCTGCCCGTGTTCCCCTGTCCCACGAGTACTCGGAAGCGGGCTTGGCCCTCATGGATCAGACCCCCCCCAAGCTTCCTGTGTGTCCAAGAAACTGTTCACGATGTAAGACAACTAACTGGTAAATAGCCCCAAATTATGGTCGCTGGAGTAGCATCTGAAATAAACTAACAATATGAAATAAACTATGTAATCGTAGGAGAGACTGCAACTTCAGTTCATATTAGGTGGTGAGACAGTTCGTGTTTCTGTAACTGACTATTTAAAGCACCAGGACAGCCACAGTTGGCAGAAGCGTACCTTAATAGAAGCTCCTGCAAAGCGAGAAAGCTGTTTGATGTGCTGCCCCTGCTTGCCGATAATGGCCCCGACAGATAAGGCTGGGATAAACAGATGAACAGTCTCCGTTTCTGATTGCTGTTGGAAAAGAAACACAGGACACTCTTGCTTACTGGATACAAATCGGGCTATTATCATTGGCATAGGGATGGGGGCATTCGCATGCAGCAGGAATACCAGGACTCTTTTAGGAGAAACACCACAGTAAGTTGACGTGAGTTTACATAACAGGTCGAGAAGATCTCGTATACTCATCCTGAAAGCATGTGCAATGCAAAAGGTCACTTATGCACATAATTTTAAAAAAATTTTTATTTACTGATTTGAGAGAGAGAGACAGGAACATCGGCTTGTTGCTCCACTTACTTATGCATTCATTGGTGGTTTCTTGTATGCGCCCTGACCAGGGATTGAACCCACAAACTTGCAACCTTGGCACATCAGACTGATGATGCAACCAACTGAGCCACCCGACCAGGATTGTACACAATTTTCTTAAACTTTATAATGTCACCAAATTATAGATTTAAAAGCTATGTGACTGTTATCAAGTTTAAATGTATTAGAGCAATAAGACTGTATTTAAAATGAAGATTTCCCCATCACTATATCCAAGGTAGGTTTCTTGGCAAGTAAATGAAATTTGCTTCTTTAAATCTTCGCCCACGGACATTTCTTCATTGTTTTAGAAAAGGAGGGAGGGACAGAGGGAGGGAGGGAAGGAGGGGAGGGAGAGAGAGAGAGACATTGGTTGGTCGCCTCCTGTATGCACCCCAACTAGGGATCAAACCCACAACCTATGTATGTGCCCTGACCAGAAATAAAACTGGCTTCAGTTTATGGGATGACAGTCCAACCAGCTGATCCATACCCGTCAGGGTATAAATGAAATTCTTGACAAGTAAAGGAAGTTATGAGAATAAAATAAGCACATCACAGAAAAGTCATGGGAAAAATCCACGGCTCTTTTATCTTCACCTAACAGTTATTCTGTTATACATCTGAGGGTGCTACTTTAAAGACCTTCAGGAAGCCTGGTTTCTAATTTTTCACTAATTCATAACACCCCAATCAAATCCTTAAACATAAACTTGTGCCCTTGTACAAACACTCCTAAGATTTTATGTAATAGAAATGCTGTGTCTGAGCATGACCATTTAAAACTGACATATTTCCAAATTATCACACTAATATATTTATCTTAGTCAATATATTAAAAGGGTGCAATCAGTTCAAACCACGGCTTCCACACTTAGGAAAAACACAGCAACTGTACAAATGGATGTACAATACTATTCTTTACAGCTTGGTATTTCTTTGGTGTTCCCTGTGTTTCCCGGGAGGTCGTCACACACTCAACACAGCTGTCAGCTAAATGCAGTCTTCCTGTAGTCCTACAAGCATTCTTGGAATAAACACCAGAAGGCTTTGCCTTATCACTCAGCTCTTGACTGGAGATCTGTAATAGGGCCTGTCCCGTACAGCTTGGTCAGGTGACTTCTGTTGCTGTTCATCGGTGAGTAACACCAACTGAAACGACTTCATTCTTCCGTGTTTCTAAGTCAAAAACACAGTGCCTCTCTTACGAAAGCACCATACCTTACAGCCTGCCAGGGGGTTATGCAGTAACCGTATACCACTTATTCCAGAGGGACACGTTAAAGCCTATTTTAATAACTAGATAAAATGACCAAATTAATACTGACACTGACCGTAAACTGTCCAAGCACTGGACGGTGTGGCTTAGTTGCTGGAGTGACGTTCCGTAAACTGAAAGGTCATGGGTTTGATTCCTAGGCAGGGCACATGCCTAGGTTGCAGGTTTAGTCCCCAGTTGGGGCGTGTACAAGAGGCAACTGACTGATATTTCTCTCTCACATCAATGCCCACCCCCCTTTGCCTTCTCTTCCCCTCTAAGATCAATAAGCATGCCATCAGGTGAGGATTAAACACACACAACCTGTGTTCAATATTAGCATCTATTTTGTCATTTTGGTCCTTATATTAAAACTCCTACATTAATTTTAACCAATTTTTAAAAGCACAAATAAGATCGAAATATTTTATGTCATTGAGAACATTCATATCATGTTGTTCTGAAATATATATTTATATTTGGGGGGCAGGGATCTGACAGTGATAAAGACCTTTTAACTGGTCAGCCTAAATCTAATGTGTAACTTGCCCAGATATCTGTCCCATTGTGTCTTGCCATGATTGTATAATTATTTGTTTTCTGGGCCTTGTTCCAGAAAGATTTTATGCTGCTTACAAAGTACACATAACCTAGAAAGACATAAAACAAAGGAAGCAAAGAAATAAAGGCATAGGGACCTGAACAGAAAAGACAAGATGAAGCCAGAAATGCTACTATTATACAAATTTGACCTAAGCTTCCTAGCAGGTAATTAAAAAGAAAAGAAAAATCAGTTGCATGATTTAGCATGTCTGTAAGAGAAAAACGATTAATAGAAACTACTGAGAGCTGGTGCTTAACAGAAACTACTCTTCCTGTGCCTGATCCCAGAGAGCAGCCTCTGAGTGTCCGCAGAGGATGACTAACGGGCACCAGCTTTGGCCGCGGGGCCAGCACAGCCCGCGCGCGCATCTCAGCCCAGACGACACCGAAGACCACTGCTGCCTGGAGAAGAGCTGCGAGGCAGGAACTGTGCCGTAGCCTCAGCAGTTGAACAGAAGCTAAATAATCTTTCCACTGCAGTGATGAAAGGCTATCAATACATCTGTTTTGTTCATTTGTGGGGTTGGGGTGGAGTACAAGAGGTAACAAATCCAAAACAAAGATTAAAAAAATACATTTAGCCCTGGCTGGCGTAGCTCAGTGGATTGAGTGTGGGCTGCAAACCAAAGCATCGCAGGTTCGATTCCCAGTCAGGGAACATGCCTGGGTTGCAGGCCATGACCCCCAGCAATTGTACATTGATGTTTCTCTCTCTCTTTCTCCCTCCCTTCCCTCTCTAAAAATAAATACATGAAAAATCTTAAAAATAAAAAGAAAATACATTTAAGCCCTGGCTGGTGTAGCTCAGTGGATTGAGGACAGGTGGCAAACCAGAGGGTCAGCAATTCAATTCCCAGTCAGGGCATGTGCCTGGGTTACAGGCCAGGTCCCCAGTAGGGGGCATGCAAGAGGCAATCACACACTGATGTTTCTTCTCTTTCTCCTTCTCTTCCCCCTCTCTAAAAATAGATAAATAAAATATTTTTTAAAAGAAGAAAATACATTTAAGAGGTGTGTGAAGTTTGGAAAAGGAATGTGATCAGTAGAGAAGGGTCCAAAGGACCAAATTCTGACAGAAAGAAGGGGCAGACACCAGAAGAATCAGCCTCTGGACAGAAAAGTGTTCTGCACTGGGGTGCAAACAGAAGCAACAGAACCTGTCAAGTATAACAAGCACCGGAGCGGAGCAGACTACGCACGCCAGGGGGGGCCCGAGACTGACAGCGGCGTGCACCCTGGGCAACGGCACCTTCGTACAACTTGACTCATCAGATGTCTGACGCTTGATGAAGACACTTCTGAGCACTGCCCAATTCCCTCTGCTCCCATTCCATATCCACCAGTCGTCTCCCCGATGATAAATTCCTTTTCAAGGAAAATTTCCCCTGGGAATACACCTCACACAAACATCCCGTCCACGTGACAGTCGTTACACTGGCTCTCTGGCACGGACCATTCTCACATGCGGTGCAGCACAGCAAGCCGAGTTTTCAGAATTCCGACCCTCAGATAAGCAGATAACTTCGTGTTTACTTATGAAACTAAAGCCCGAACAATGGGTTCTGATAAGCCCCGTCCTTTTAAGTCTCCGAGATGGAGCTTGAAAGAATCTCATCAGCACGAACCTTTCTGTTACACATTCTTTGCACTTAAGTTAATGTTCAGCTGCATTACTTCGAACCCTTTTCCCTAAACCTTCAGGGGTGAAGGATATTCACAGGACACAGGCTGCTTCCCAGTGGATTTCTGCCAGATGCCTATCGGCAAAACTTCCTCTGGACTCGCTGGCAGACTCTGTGTTACGGCTTGAAAAAACAAAAGAACAAAGCTGCTCAAATGAAAGTTTGCATAACTGGTGCAGTCTGCCAATTGAGTAATTCCTAATCATCTATCGTGAGGAGATACAAGAATGAGTAAACAGTAAGGTTAAGTGTATTTACTTTGTGGGGAACAGAATCTAAGACATCACAAAGGCATGGAGACACGCATGCCAGCCAGCAAGAACAGCCTCCAGGAACCTGGAGGGACGCCAGTGTTTCCCTGGGGTTTGTAAAATAGATACTCCTGGGGTTTTTTGTTTTGTTTGTTTTGTTTTAATGGATTTTGGTCTGGAACTGGAATTATGGTTACTCAATTCCATGACCTGAAAAGAATATTGAAGTCTTAAGAAAAAAAAAGGCAAATAACCCTTCTCCCCATAACCAGTAATCAGGGCTTCTTAAAGGCACAGATGTGTGCGAGGAGTTCTTTACTTTGAAATTGTTTACTGACAGAAGAGCTGCAGCCATAGTAAGAAACCCCAAGGTGGACTAGGAGACTCCATGGAACAGCCATCGATTCCAAAATCCCTTTCAAGCTGTATTTTGATTCTTAAAGAACACCTCAAACTAGCTAAGACATAAGGAACAGCTCACTTTTCTTGCCTTTTTCGTAAGTAGGAGTTAGCAATTTTAAGGTTATGCTTATTGTTTTGGAGACTTCTGAGAAGACTCCAAAGGTGCTACCAAAATGAAGACAACAGCCCTCGGGCTAAGCCCTGCCAGCCCCAGAGCGAGCTGCCAACGCCGTCAGGCTGTGGATGTCGCTGTGTGGAAGCTGCTGCCTGCCAGTTCTGGCTCTCGCTCTGCTCGCTGGCTGCCAATGGCCTCTTCCCTCCTATTCGAGCATTTCTGAAAGGAGCATTTCCTGTCATTTATAAACTTGTAGTTTGCCAATTAAGTGCTGCACGAGCCAGCTGCTAGGCAGGAACTACAGACTTTTTGTCTGCTGGGGGAACCAACTCTTTGGCTCTATGGGAAAAATCAACCTGGCAGGTTCCAGGAAGAAGGGTATGTTGCAGGGGGGAGAGGCGGGCAAAGTTCTGGAAGGGAACAGAGTCAAAGGCTTTATCCAAAGACAAGTTGCATCCATTCTCCTTTCATGTTACAAAGCATAAGTGAGAAAACAGGAGGGGGAAAAATTAAACAACTCTAAAAGAAAGAGGAAGCAGTACCTAAAAAAGAGTGTCAGATTTTTTGAAACATTTAGTTATCAAAACCTACTCCTTGCCAGGCAACGTACACTTAAAGTAAAGGAAATCTACCGCTAACCTGCAGGGCACCGAGGATAAAGAAGCGATCTTAGCAAGTGACCTGGTTTTCTGAGCAGCAGCAAGCTTCTCGGCAGCAGCCTGGATGCCTGACCGTGGTAAAGGACAACCCTCAGACTGCTGGGAGCGAATACCTGCCAACCTTGCATTCTCTAGCTCAGGTTTTAAAAAAAAATATCACACACCTTCAACATTACGTTCTTCAGCGAGAAGAAACGTGAAGCCTGAGGGAATAAAAGGGCTATAAGAAGAAATGGTAAGCAAAAAAAGATAAAGATAAAGCTTTGGCAAATATAACTACTGCCTTTAAAAAAAAAAACAACAGTCAGTTTGTGTTTCAAAGAGTGGTGACCACTTATTAGTGATCCAGGTTTAGAAAAAGAACAAAGTCTACTAATACACAGTGAAGGCAAAGCTATTCCAACTAAGTATTCCTCCCCCGTGAAGCTGTATACTCACAAAAACTGGTGAAAGAATTGTGCTCTGAAACATTAAACCAGAAAAGTGCCTGACAGTTACTTGGAAGTCAATTTTACTCTAACTGGTATCCAGAGATAGTACAATTATTTGAAAATGGAATTTTCTCTTTATTTGATGAAAATAATCTGCAGGAGTGGAATTGGAATACAGAATTTTTTCCAGAATTAATTTAGAGTTTCCTTTTGCAGGGGTGTGCGGTGGGGTGGGGTGGGAGGAGACCTTAAAAGCTTACCTTCTCCGTTCCAAGCTCCGAGAAACCCCTTAAATGTGTAATACTGCTCTATCCAGGGGGCAGAGCCTGACAGCCACCCGACATCTACTCATCCAGTTACAGCCCCGGTTTCCCGGCTTCCCTTGCAGGTAGAAGTGCCCAGGTGTCATGGTCTAGCAAACCAGGTACCACCCGTGGAAGAGTGAAAAGCTGTCCTCAGGCAGTGCCCTTGAATGAGGTGGCTGCTGATTTTTGATCTTTCATCCTTCCTGCTGGCTGGAGGCAGACTCGATGGCTGGAGCTTGAGCAGTCATCCTGGCCCAGGGGGGCGGTTTGCTAAGCCAATAGGAGCACCAGTCCTACCCGGTACAGCAGAACCTCCACCAGAACTACTCAGATTACCTACCCTTCAACTCTTCTCTTAAAAAAGGAAAACTCATTCAGACCACATTTTTTAACTCCAAACACCCGGCCAACCCTAATCCTGATAACACAGCATGCCAAAACGTATTTAGAAGCATGCAAACAGACATATGGCAGCATCCCAAGGCAGTTTTGGCCTGAGAGTTGCCTATGAGTTGGAATGACAGGTGGTGAGAGAAAAGGGGGTGAGGTTTTTCACTACACGTTAAAGCCTCAAACAAGTCAGAAAAAGGGACGTAGATGAGCAGTGTGTTTATGCTTGTCCTAAATATTATCTCCCACACTTTAGTCTTGATAGGAGATATTCTTTCCAACGTTTAAGTCCACCCTCCACAGACTAGTAAACATTCCAGAACCATAGTTCTTGACAGTGAATAGTTAACAAAAAGCTCCGAATGACCTTTACACAACCACGAGTTTCTAAGCTTCCATCTACTCCTACTGAGATTTTCATTCATTGAAGACCAAGGCGGGGCACAGGTTCTGGACCAGTTAAGAAACAGAGCAGCTGTTGTTAACCTTGGTTACACACCGGAGTCATCCGTGGAGTTTTCCAGAATACCGATGTTGGGTCTTGCCCCTAATCTCCCTACCAGGGCCTGAGGGAGGGGGGCATTCTCATTCAAGAGGTCTGGGGAAATTCTAATGTAATGAACAAAAACCATTCCCCCCACTGAAGGCATGGGGCAGAGAAAGCTATGCTTTACAGAAGACTGTCCACTGAGAAATGCAAAAGGAAGCAGGAAGACAGTAATACATGACCCGGGCAAACGTCAGCAGTGGGTATTAGGTCCACTGGGGGAAAGACAGCCTGGGAGCGTGCGAGAGGCAACCGGTGGGTGTTTCTCTCCCTCCCTCACTCTCCTTCCCTTCCTCTCTCTCCAAAAAGCAATAAATAAAACCTCTAAAACATTTTATTATAAGCATTCAAAATGGGAAAAAAAGAAAAAGCGATGCCATCTTTACTAACCTTTCACAGCAGTTAACTTCCAGTGAAAAAGGTGAAGGAAGCCCTTCAAAAATCCTTTTCTTCAATATTGAAACACAGATAACCTCTTCCCCTGGCCCCAAAGCCTCAAACTTTTGACATCTGAAAGCACGCTGGCAGCTCTACCACCCCAAACACCAAAAGTGGTGATTCCTGCCCGCAGCTACTAACGGGGTCGACTAGAAGGTTCTATTAACGAGACCCAGAAAGCATGTGCCGGCCCTAAGCCAATTCCTGATCACATGGGAACCAGGTTTCAGAGGAAGATCTTCCCCACAGAAATGTCTCACGTCACACCACTCACAGGCAACCAAGATTGGCTGCATCCTGCTCAACCGCAAGGGACGCCGCAGCACAGCATCTTACCTCGAACTGCGGGTAAGGAGGAGTCATGGCTGAAGGGGGCCCTGAGGCGGGAGGCGGCATCCCTGACGTGGGCGGGAACAGACCCAAGGCATTCAGATTCAATCCGGGAATTAAATGTGCTTGAAGCTGCAATGGTAAAAGGGTCCCTTCATTTAACAATTGAAAGTATAAGTGAGCATTTGGTAAGTGACAATATTCAGATTGTGACCTCTTGTCTAGTAAAAAAAAAAATCATTTGACACAAACTTGAGAACAAAGCAGATGTTTCCTGTGACCCCACTTGAGCATATAGTTTATATGTTTATATTTCTTGTATTTTAAAATCTGTGGGCTTGTTTGCCTGCTCCTTGATCTAAAGCCACAGTTTCCCAAAGCAGGGACAGAGCCTTCCTGTCCTTTATGGACCACTCACAGAGCTCAGACGAACAGGTACTCCATACTGCAGGCCCATGGACAATCCAGGCAGAATCGCGCAGGAGTCGAAGTCAGTAAACAAGTTTGCTCACTGAAGAGCAAACCACAGACAGAGAACCAGCTCCTAGGAGAGCCTTCCTTGTGGATAATGCCTGGCAGTCGCGGGTCTAAAGGCCTAATGCAAAAAGCCCGGCCCTTGGGAAACCAGGTCCCATCTGCATGGAACCACTACAATTAAAGTTATGTTTGGAGTGGATCCAGGAGCCAGAAAGGGGATTTTGTTTTGATTTAACGTTACAAGGGTTGAGGAAGTGAGGTAGAGATTAGAGAGCTGAGACTTGAGCATAGTTGAGAATATTTCAGAAAGGCCTACGGAGTTGGACTTACTCCAGTTACTGTGGACATGTGGACGGGCAATGACAATGGGCAGGTGGGCGGGCGGTCAAGTGTGCAAGATGGTTTGCAGCCTAAGCTCTCACAATGGTAATACTGTTTCCTCATGTCCCTTCTTTCAGGTGTAATGTTTCCAATGACAGGCCCAACTGAGGACTTTTTTTTCAATCATTCACTTGAAAATTCAAGATTAACTTTGCAAATGTTGCATCATCAGCACCGCTCCATCCATGAAGGATGTCAGCAGTTCCCTTTTGTCTTAGCTGCACTACACATTATTTATTCCTATCTCTAAGTAACCAAATTTTAAATTTGTGTCCATAATAACAGCTTTGACATGCACTGCTACCTACTGTAATTCTAACAGGCATGCAATGTAAGCAGTAGTCCCATTTTACAGAGGAGGACACTGATACTCAGAAAGATCAAGTAAGTTGTCCAAGAGAATGGAGCTGCAGTTCACATACCTCTGAGGCTCATATTTCTACTAATCTCCCTCAAATTAACATCACGCAGGAGATACTAACCTTTAAGGTAGGTATTAGCCTTAACTCAAAGGTCAGGAAGCTAAGTCTCAAAGACTAAATGATTTGTTAAAATCACAGAGATTGCCAAGCCTAACGTGAAAGCCTGGGTCTTCCCAACTCTCCCAGGGCACTCCCTAGGATGCTAAAAATCAATGAGAACCTATGTCTAATGATGACACCATTCAAGAAATCAGTATCAATGCAACTGAACACATCTTTTAACTGTTCATCAAAGACACGCCCTTCATATGAAAACTAACGTTCATTGAAGCAATATCATTTTCGTAAGACTCCCTGATTTTCTTCATTATCTCTTCCTCGGCTTTGGCACAGGTCTCCACGCTGCCCTTCACTGTAATTGTGCGCTCCGGGTTATACAGCGTCAATTCCTGCAGTCTGCAGGTCGAAAAGGGGGAAAGAAAGAGAATGGAAATTACAGGAGGAAGACAGTCAATAGGGGTTCAGCCACAGATGGCAATTAGAACCCAACTGTGGAGGCTGACAATATGTAAAAGTGGGCGGTTAGACATGAAAAATGAGGAAGCCCCAAAAGAGATGAATCCAAAAACTGTAAGGCCACAGGAGAGAATCCCCCCCACACACACACACACCTTCTCAGTTAAAATCACCAGAGGTTAATAGTGCAATTAAATTTAAATTCATGCAATTAAATTTAAATTCATGTTTTAAGTACAGTGTACTTTTTGATCACTTAAGGTTGAACCATTTCCACAATTTAACAGTGAAATATAAAGAAAATGATTGGAGGGATACAGTTTTAGCGGAAACCAAGAATCAGATGCACATAACTTTTAATAAGTATGCCCCTAGTCTGCACCGGCCAATTCTAGGCATAACTGGCATTCTCCCGCAATTACATTTTCTGGGTCACCAAGCAAGGAATAAGCATGGAAATGCTCCGAAAGGGCGAACCAGAACTCCTGTGTTTGAACTTCCTTTTCGCCAGTGATTTTAGAATTTGGATCAAAGTAGGCGAGAGGAAGTAATATAAACCAATCTATCTTTTTGTTTTCTTTTTTATGTTCTTTTTTTTTCTTTAGTTTCCAGGGTTTTCTTTCTCCTAACATTTTTCAATCCATCTTGACTACATTTAAAAAAGTGGCCCTTGGATGGCCACTTAGACAACCGAAAGTCAGAATGCTGCAGCAAGCGTCAGAAACTTCCAGCTCGACCCAGGTCCCGCTGGAGCTTTGAAACCACACAGAAGACACCTGAGGCCCCCTTCACCGGAGCCAGTCTGCAGCCTGAAGAGCTACAGTACTTACCGTGGGAAACAATCACCCCGAGACCGAGGGGACGCGGAACATGGGTACAGCTCTCCTTCACATTCCCCGAGCTACCATTCCCATTTTCCCGACTAGCAGAACACCTTAAGCTCAACTTGCAACAAATGAACAGGATAGCCTTCCTTTTTCTCTCCAACTTGCTAAAAATGTAAACATCTACCCATTATTTGTCTTCGACTGCTTAAAGAAGCGTATTTCTAATCTCCAGTTTCAACCCGCCTCGCCCCTGCCAAGCTTTTCTATTACACTTTTTAAAATAGCTGCTCTAGAATAACTTTTGAGATTTTTTTCACTTAAAACCCTCCCCTATCTGAGCATAAACCTCAAGACAGAGTAGGGTCATGCATTACATTTAACACTTTGTGGTTTTTTTTTCCTTCCTTTACAATCAAGCAGGACTTTCTCCTTTGAAAACTCCTTGTTCCATACACCCTGTGCCCTCAAATCTTCCTTAGTTCATCCACCTATTCATACCGTATTGTTTTCTGGGTAGAAACTAAGGATAGTCACTCCCAGAAAAAGGAAAACCTTCCCAAATCCTTCGAGAGCATTTGTGGACCCTGGGGCGGCGGGCGGCAGCCGCCTCCGGGACGGCCCCTGCCCAGGGCAGCGCACTGTCGCACACCGAACAGAGCTCTCCTGTGGGAGCCCAGAGAAACGTCGGGGTGTGGCTCCTGAGCCCGTGCTATCAAGACACTGCCGCTTCTGTCTCGCTGTCTCCTGGACCACTCACTCTGGAAGGAGGCAGCGGCCCTGTGCTGAGGAACGGAGGCCTCATGCCAACAGCCAGCACAGACTCGTCGGCAGCATGAGGCCTAAGCCAGAACCCCCGGTGAAGCTGCCCCTGGAATCCTCCCCTACGGAAACCAGGCGACCAGCACACGGCTACTATTGTCTTAAGCTATCAAATGTTGGGATCATTTCTTACACATCAATGGATGATAAACTGGGCTCTATATACCCATTTGTGGAGAATGTGTCAGAAAATGTGACCAAAACTTCAGCTAGGAAATGGGAATGTGAAGTGTTCAGTGGCCCCTGCGTCTTCAGCGGGGACAGATAAAGCGTCCAGTATGGGTTAGAGACAGACCGTGGGTGGTGGCCTGGGCCTGAGGAACCAAGTGCAAGTTCGGGGTGCGGGTGGGCTCCAACGGCTGCCAAATGGGGCAAGCGATGCTGAATGTGTAACCCAGAGCTTAAACACGGTGTTGAAAAGTTTCCAACTCAAAGTTTCCAACTCAAAAGAACGCAATGCAGCACTTACGGAGATATCGTGATTTTAGTGTCTGTGTCCTGCTCGATTTTTTTAAGATTTCTTCCTTCCTTACCAATAAGACGGCCTACAAAGTTATTATGGGCTAAAATCTTCAAGGGAATCTCTTCTGTGCTGTAAATGAAAAAAAAAAATGGTCATGAAATCAGGGTAAGTGAACCTACTCTTGGGTAAAAAGACAATATTCGTTCATTAAACATTTACTTCCTACCTACCTGCCATATAGGAAGCATTATGCTGGATAGACTTTAAAACTGGCTGACCATTAGCCTACATTCTAGCAATGTATGAACAGAGGAGGTAAAAAAAACATTAACATGTATTTGGAGAGAAGTTAATTTTTAAAAACTGTTTCCTTTTGTTAGCTCTGAAAACTGCTCCTGCCCGAGTTCTAATTTCTGACCTCCCAATACCAGAACATGCACAAATGCAAGACAGTATGATTTTAGTATCAATTTTAAAATACACTTCTAACCATACAGGCACAGTTTATACACGGAAACAGAAGAAACTCAACAGTGGTTAGTTACCCTCTAGGGGAAGAACGTAAATAAGAGCAGGAGGGGTGGAGGGTGGGGAAGAGGGTTCTCATCTCATCTTGTACCATTCTGAATTCCAAGTCACACACATCACTGTTTAAAAATGTCATCAGAACAAGAAAAGGGGCTCATGGACGTAGACATCAAGACTAGGCAGGAATCCCATAGTGTGGAGACTTGCGGGGGGTGGGGGGGGCAGCTGGAAGGCAGAGGTGGAAGAGGGTGTAAGGGGAAAATGGTAATGGAAAAAAAATACAACACTAAAAAGGAAAAATGTCATTGAGGTTATCTGGGTGGTGGGCTTTTTCCTTTTTCTCCCCCCTCTATACTAAAAAAGAATTATAATCTTACAGCACCATGTAACACCTTATAAATGAAATACATTTAATATACTTGTAAGGTCCCTACATATTAAATGCTGGTGATTAGGTCCCAGCTAACTCCAGCACCTTCCTCGGAATCCTTCGTTACGCACAGCACTGCGCTCAAAGCTAAAAGGAGCACAGGGCCTGACCTCCGCTCAAAGTTCCTGCGGAAAAGATAGCTAAGAGTGCCAATCTGGCATATCCAAATACAGCCCCAGGCTATTTCGGCCCAGGATGAGGGGTTTCCCCACCCACAGGCCCTGCTGCTGAGGGTGGGGCTGAGCAGACAGTAAGAATGGAAACCGCCCCCCCCCCCCCAGCTCAAAGTGAAGGAGCATCAGGCCCTGCCTTGGGTGAACCCCAGCGACACTTCCTGGACCTTAGATGGGCTCATGTCCCCCAGTCACCACCTTCTACGTCTGGACTTTTCCCCATTACCACCCCTCATCCCATATCTGAACACAAATGCAACTCTCTTAAGGACTTGTGCTTTACAAGCAAGTCAACAGTGCCCACCACCACAGCTCCTGAGGGCAGCAATTCCCCCAAGAACTGTGTCATGACACCCAAAATACAACAGCACGGATGCTGCCCTCTCCAGCCTCTTTACTCACAATTTTATATCTTGAGCTTCCTTATGCATAATCTCCAGAATAGACTTACAAGCCGCAGAGGTGCCTTCAGGGGTAGAAAGGATAGTAATGGACTTCTCAGCAGCACCTGCATTCTCCTTACGATGGACATCGATTCTTGGGGCGGGCACGAGGAGAGAGGAAAAGGACAGCTGTGAGCAAGCACTTCCCACCGAGTTTACAAGGTCACAGGACTTCAGGGCAGAGAGGATGAGTCACTTCCCTCAAGAGCATAAGCTCCTGACAAACTGTCAACAGGATGCCTCAGAGGTGAATGTTAATTCCAGGAACACTCCCTCTCTTTCCTCCGTCTGACCAAGCAGGGACATCTTTGCATTCTGCTTAAAGCTTCCTTTTTTTGATGGCACAGAACAAACGTCTCGTGTCAAAGAGCTGAAGTTCAGACAAAGGCTTTCTTCTGCTCTAAAACAAACAGGAACTGGAGCAGTGCCAAGAGGGCGGCTGCGGGAATCCCACGAACCAGGTCAACCTTCTTACTCTAGGCGGCCTTCTTCACTATTCATCGTGTGAGCACATTTTGCTCAACTGCTTCCTTTTGCAAGGCTCCTCCTACACTCTGCCCCCTTCATAGAGGAAAGTCTACAACAAAACCCAAAGAGATGGCAATTCTACTTCAAAGAAAAGCAAGTGGTCAATGCATGCAAAGTGTCAAACCTCACCAGTATTACACACACGCCAATTAAAATGAAGCATATTACTTTTCCAGACCTGCAAATATTTTGGTAGATAAAATTAAGTATTTGCAAGAGAATGGGTAAGCTGGGCACACCCACACTCGGGTGGGAGTGTAGAACAAACTGGCAGGGCTTATCAAACCAAAATGCTTATCGCCTTTGACTCAAGAATTCTACTTCCTGCACGGACAGGGTGTGGCTCAAGTTGCTGGGGTATCGACCTGCAAAGCTAAGTGCCGTGGCTTTGATTCCCGGTTGGGGCCCGTGTGGGGGTGGCAGGGAGAGAGGTGTGCAAGACTTTAATGCTTCTCTCTCACATTGATGTTTCTCTCCCTTTTCCCCTCTAAAAATTAAAAAAAAAAATTTTAATTCTACTTCCGGTAACATCTACAGATGCAGTCCCACACGTATGCCGAGAGTGGTGTTTCTCACCTCCAGCATTACTGACATGCTGGGCCGGATTGGCTCTTTGTTCTGGGGGCTGTCCCATGCTACAGAGTGGGCAGCAGCCACCCTGGCCTTGGCCCACTAGATGCCTGTAGCACATCCCTCTTCCAGCTGTGACAACCAAAAATGTCTCCAAATGCTGCCAAATGTCCCTGGTGGTAAGGGGGGTCACCCCCGGGTGCAAACCACCACTAGCACAGGGATGTTCGCTGGAGCACTGTTTGCGACAGAAAGAAAATTGGGATGATCTTTAAAAGACCCACCAGAAAGAGACGGTTAAATAACAGCATATCCATATCACACAGCCGTCTGAAAACATGAGGTATAATTACAGATAGCAACACTTGCAAGAGGTCATCGGTCTTCTGCGAAAAAATGCAATACATACCTTGATAAGATTTCTTCTTTATTTTTTAACCTTTAATTAATTAATTAAATGTATTGGGGTGACACTGGAATTTTCTCCTTTAGAGCAACACGGGGAGGGGGGGAGATGAAGGGTGACTGTTTTCATTTGCATACACGTACATTTTGAATTAAATGCAAAGCGAGTCTGCTGTTGGAGAGGCACAGGAGAGAACACGAGGTGCCTGTGTGTCCCTCTGTTCACTCACACACGGAAGAGCAGGAGCCACGGCATCCCTCACCATGGGAATGGCCACTTCCTCTGGGGCTCATTCTCCCCAGTGGGAGCTGAAAACTAAAGATCAATTTCAGAAGTGGAACCTATCACGAAAAATAAGGGCAATGTAGAAATGAAACGAATAGGAGCTAACTAGAAGTAACTACTTAACAAACAGTGTGTTAGGTCAACGATCCGATGTCAGGAACCCCCAATCTCAGGAACTGTTTTTCCAGCCAGTATTTCAGAAATCCCCGGTCACGGTAAGCATTGCTCATCTTCTAGAGTGTGACACATTAAACTCCCCCCTTCCAGTTTATTTCCAGCATTCACTGTGTTAACTGTGTTCCCTTTGGAGAGAAGGGAAGGCAGCTGTACAGACTGGAGGAAGCCTCGGAGGCCAGTCCAGAAACAGAGGATCTGATCATGACCAGTTGCAATGGCAAGAATTAAGTAAATCCACTGGCAGAGCTCTGCAAATGAATCATCGGATATTAACAAAAATTGCTTCCCTTCCCTCTCCATCCTCCATCTTCCTGCCTTGAATAAAACAAACAGTTCAATCTAAATCACAGGCGCGCTTTCCTCTGACAAGGAAATGAACAGCATTAAAAGGAACAACTCTAATCTGCCACGCGACGAGGAAGGGAAACCATTTAATAATTAGTTTCTGCAGGTAATGTTGAATCAAGGGAAGCAAGAAACTCTTCAATTTCAAGATTGTAAACCAGGCAAATTTAAAGTTAAAAGTGACCTAAGCAATGGTTCAATGGTCTCCCCAACTCCCTACATGATGAGGTCAAAGGCCATTGGTTTTGCACAGAGGCACCCAACACCAAACATGTTCTGCTTCGGCAGGGCAAGGCAGGATCAGACATCGCCCTGCAGGTGCCGCGGGCCCGCCAACACCACCAAACACAGTTCTCTTTGGTTCTCATGAGGAATCAGTCAGCGAGTTCACTGCGGGCACGGTGCCCACGATGACTACGGAGCCAGCTGGAACAAACACAGCGCCGTAGTTGTCCTTTCAGAAAAAGGCTCTCTCTCCTTAACTCCTTGGACCACGCGAAATGAAATCAATGTCCTTATCAAATTTAAAAAGCAAAAGAATCCGCAGTCATCTTTGAAGCTGGCCCAAGACCATTCCCCTGCCCTTTGGTGTAGAGGGACTGACCCAAGAGAGGTCTGTACACAGCCTCGTACACTCAGCTTTTCAGGAAACACGGCAGCAACAATCCAGAGATGTGCCTGGTGGCACTCCGGAGAAGCAGGGCGGGGACAGGGTTCCGTCACCAAGCTTCTCTGGGTCAAAACAGTCACATATAGTATCGCAGGATGGTTAATAAGGCAAAACAACTAGTATGTGATGCAGCGGAGTTCCATCTGACTCGTCTGCCAAATGAGGGCCTTCTCCATTGCGGGCAACGTGCCCGGCACAGTGGTAAGTCATAACATAGAGCTCCTGCCTTCTGCTCCTGAAAAGCTGGCTCCAATGTTTGCCCAAGAATCTCCTAATCCCCTAAAATCTGCAAGTTAAAATCTCAATCAAGATCCTGAAGAAAAAGCCATTCTGGCTACATGGCTTACTCATGGGATAATTTTGGACCATAGGCTGAATGATTCTTTATTCAAGTAAAGCAAGAATGAAAAACTATCTCTGTACTGGGCCCAGAAAATTATGTCCAAAAACAAAAAGGCAGGTATCACTGGGGGCTAGGAACACCCGGTGAGCTGTCCCTTTTGTTCACCAGCCCCCCCGCCCCAACGCCATCACAAGTAGATTAGGTATTTTGTTTTCCATTAATGTGTGAAAATTTGCAGTTCCCTTTGAGGGTTAGATTTAGCCCCGTATTTTTATAAAATAAACACTAAGATAGCAGAATCACAAGGTTTTTCCAGATTCTCAAGTACGAGAAGTTATGTTCCCAAGAACACCAAGCCCCAGAAACGCCCACCCTCAGGAACACTCACTTGGACTGGGTCTGTTTGGTGATGTTCCGAATGGTGGCCCCTTCTTTTCCTATAATGGCTCCAACGAACTGGGTGGGAACCAGCAGGCGTAGAGGCAAGTCACACGGCTTCTGCTTGGGCACCGACCCCGGAGATCCCTGTCTCGATGAGCCTCTCTGCCCAAACCCACGGCGACCTCGGGGCTGCTGTGAGGGGTTCTGCTGGGCGGCCATTTCGTCAGGGATGTAGGCCACTTTCAACGTGAAGTTCTCCAACTGGAATCCATTGAGTTTGTCTAAAGCTCTGAAAGTTAACAAGGAGCAAGGGGTTGGAAGAGAAATTGAGCTACACCATAAATCTTTCGGCAAAGTAATACCTATCTCCTCCACTCAGGATCACTGGCCAGAAAACTTCTGAATAAAGCCACATAACGAATAACACAGAACACACTTAACAGTCCACCTCTCAACATACATACACACACACACACACACACACACACACACACACACACACTTTTCCTTTGAAGTACATACAGGAAAGAAAAGATTGACAAGCTTCTGAAAAAAACAAAACAGACTTGCCATCTGAAAAAATAGAAAGAAAGAAAAAACAGTTTGTCAAACTATTTTTTTATTGAGGTATAACTGCCATACTACATTACATTAGTGTCGGGTATGGGACATACAGACTCGATGTTGGTATGTTTTGTGGTCACCACAGTAAGTCTATCTAGTTAACGTCCATAACCACACTGGTTACAGAATTTCTTTAAAAAAAAAATTTTATTTATGTTTAGAGAGCAAGAAGAGAGGGAGAAAGAGGGAGAGAAACGTCAATGCATGATTGCCTCCCATATGCCTCCCCCACTGGGGACCTGGCCTGCAACCCAGGCATGTGCCCTGACTGGGAACCAAACCAGCGACCCTTTGGTTCACAGGATGGCACTCAGCTACTGAGCCACACCAGCCAGGGCCAGATTTTTTTTTTTCTTGTAATGAGAATTTTAAGTTCTACTCTCTCAGCAATTTTCAAGTATGCAATACAGTATTAGTAAATACAGTTGCCAGGCTATGCACTGCATCCTCATGATTTACTTATTTTATAGCTAGAAATTGGCACCCTCTGCCCATTTTGCCCATACCCATCTCTGACATCCACCAATCTGTTCTCTGAATCTGTGCATTAGTTTGTTTGTTTTTGGAGATTCCACATATAAGCGAGATCATTGTCCTTGACCTCTTCCTGACTTACTTCACTCAACATAATGTCTTCAAGATCCATCCGTGGTATCACAGATGCCAAGATTTCATTCCTTTTTATGGCTGAATACTATTCCACTGTGTATATATACACCAGGTTTTCATTATCCATTCGTCCATTGATGGACACTTAAGTTGTTTCCATATCTTGGCTATTGTAAATAATGCTGCAAGGGGAACTCTTGATCAAGCTATTACCCAAGAGGTTAGTAATAGCTTAGGAGTGTGCGAACGGCCAGAGAAGTAAGGGGCAGTCCTTGTCCGGGCCAATCTTTCTAAATCAGAAGGGGAGGATGTTAGAAATATACACCTCCCTCACTTCATCCTCGTACAAAATGCAAATATTAAAACATCTTAAGCATCAGGGGACAGAGCTCTCTAAAACACTCACAGGAGACTGATGGGATTGAACACCCAGGATAATCACTCGGTCAGTTCTCAGCACCCACTATGTTCCCGTGACCCAGAATTCTGCCCTCCTCCCTCACTCCCACCCCCTCACCCATCCTTGTCCTACAGTGTCTTGTACACAAATGAGCTCTTAGTACAACAGACCCAAGTCACACGGAAATACAAAGTAAAAGGCATTTCTGTCACCCTCACCAACTCTCCAAGAGCCTTCCCAGAATCACTGGGAACCATGGTAACTTCTGCCAACAGACCAGTTCTTTACATGCGTATGGATGTTTGTGTTCAGCACCTCCTCAAAAACAAAACTGGGACCATGACGCACATAGTTTTGTATTTTCTTCTTTTTCCAAATGCATCTTGGGATGTTTCCACGTGGTTTCTCTGTCAGAGGGCGTTCTTTTCATAAGCTTCCTAGGGCAAGAGCTGGCACACGGCAACGTCCTCGCGACAGAACCCTACGTTCACCTGCTGTTCCTCAGTCTCTTCCTCTCCCCTTTTCCTTAAGGGGATGTGGGTTAAGGACATTAGATATGTTGGTTATTTCTGAAGGAAGACAATCACTGAGAAATTTTATTAATATTTACGATGTATGTTTTTTATAGGAAGTTGGAATTGCAGAAGTTTTGACCAATTAGATATTCATTCGAGACAACTTTAAACCTCTTTAAAGGCCAGAAGATACAGATCGCCGATGGCTCCTTCAGAAAACTAGGGAGATGTGAACCCAGCAGAGGAATCAGCTGCAGCCACAGGTGCCGAAGGCAGCCGAGTTTGCTAGCACGTCCTTTCCCGCTACAGAACAGCACCGCGGGCTTCAGAAGAAAGTAAGTAAGTGCTGACTGTGGAGTTCCGTCGGTAACGTTGCAAGGAAGTAAGTACTTCTGTGAGCGGGACGAGTGGCCACGGACAGACACCCTTCTCCACGGAGATGAGCCTGCCAGTCAGCAGAAGCGTCCATGTCTTCCAAACACGGTCACATGGCCGAAGACACGGCTCTCTCAATGTGGCAGAAAACTGACTTCCAAACTTCACTGTGCTGCTTTGAAAATATTTTTGTTGTTCTTTCTTTCTCTACTCCCACCCCACTCTCTTCTTTAATGAGGAGAAAAGGAGAGAGTCTCCCTGTCTGGAGGTCGGAAGGCACGGTGATCCAATAGCCAGGGCGTACACAGTCTGGGCCCCAGAAGCCCCCGGCCCGGGCTGCTCCTGTCCATGGACTGCGCTGTGTGTCCACCATCCACCTGCCGACAATGCTGAGTGTCCGCCCCCTCAACCACAGCGCTCCACTTCGGGGCGGAGCGGAGGCAGTACGGGAGCAGTCTAACCGCAAGCGGTGACTTCCTCAGGACTAAAGAGCCTGAATTCCTGAATGTTAAGGGAAACACTGAAACCTCTCTAAGTGCAGAGTTTGACATTCAGCTCTGTCCTTTGGCGGTTTGCCAAGTCCACGGGGAAAACATCATGGTAACTCCATCAAATATGTTGTATATACAACATGTATGGTGATATGGTGGTGGATATTGACTAGACTTACTGTGGTGATCACCTCCAATGAATGCAAATACTGAGTCATTACGTTGTACACCTGAAACTAAGGTAAGGTTATATATCAATTATACCTCAATCTTAAAATTTCAAAAGACATATGAGGAGCAATTGTCAAAATTATTCAAAACCTATGCATTGACTTCAACAGAACTCAAGGATGTTTATCCAGCAGGTGCATGGCTCAGGATGCTGTTTCCCTTCATTGCCCGACTCTGCTCCAGCACTATTTTGAGTCATTCAGAAGATGGTGAGTGGTTTTGCTAGTTGGTAGCACTTAACTGTATTGGTAAGTTTATTGGGGTAGATCAAGCTGAGAGCCAAAATGGCCGAGCAGAGAGACAGAGAGAGAGAGAGAGGGAGAGGGAGAGGGGGAATAGGTAGTTTAAGTCAAGGATGAGGCAGAGGAGAAGAGAGAAGCAATGAGACCCAGAGAAGTTAAATTCACGCACAGGAGCACACACACAGACCTCAGTAGTGAGAAGAGGATGGACTAGAGACCGGAATTCCAGTCCAACTAGAGCAACGAGTAGCCATGTGGCCTTGGAAAGTCATTTTCTTATGTAGTGCTGGGTTCCTTACCTACAACACTCAGAGTGTGAACCTAGACTTATGATCCCGTTCAACTCTAAAATTTCATGTCCAAAATTTTCTTCTTATTCCCAGACCTCACTGCTGTACGTAACACAGGTTCTAACAAAATGAGGTTTAACCAGGACTGAAAAGTCACACGATTCAGTTTTCTGCGTGTACCAAGAATGAGAGGCTGAGGCATATGGTTCAGGAACCATCACTGAAGGGCTGGGAACACGGCTGCAGGGGTGTGTCCTCAGGAAACAGTTATGGACAAAGCCCCAAGAGCTACCTAAAAAGGACGTTATTTCATTATTATTATTTTTAATCCTCATCCAAGGACATGTTTATTGATTTCAGAGGAGAGAAAGGGAGAGGATGGGGTGGCAGAGAGAGGTGGGGGGAAGATGAAAGAGAAACAATGATTGGTTGCGTCCGGTGTGCAGATGGATACGGGTCTTTGAACTGACACAGAAGGATCTTCAATGATAGCCTCGAAATATAAACAAACCCTATTCTGATTCCCTAACAAAAAACAAACATCAGAAATAAGAAAATAGAAATATAACAACGAAATGCCCACAGATTCTAAAGGGTCATATCCTCGCCACCCATTCATTACCAGCCTTCCCGGGGCGAGGTCTATCTATCCTGGGCCGTGTTAGCTGAGCCTCTCCGGAAGGCGTTCCAGACACCCGAGCCTCTCTCGCTCCAAGGAACAAGAGATACTAAATACATACTTCTGTTTTTAATGATTTTTGTTTTTATTATTTTTACTCATTTCATTATCTTAATAAACTTAATGATCTGAGACTTAAAGTTAAAACGAATATGTATTTCCTAGTAATATAATACTATTAACCTTTGATTTTTCTTAGCCACAAGGTGGCAGGAATTTCCACGTTAAATTGTCTCAGGGCCAGCCTTATGGAAGAATCAATCTTCTTCAAAGTGGAATTTATAGAGCTTTAAATAACAAAAAGAGGCAACCACAAAAGCTTTTAAGCTAGGTCCCTAACTCCGGGGAATCCGTGGCCAGTCATTATCTGAAATGAAGCATGGCGAGCAAGAAGAGAGTATCCCCAACAGCAATAAGAATGTTGGAAAACGCATAATAGCTGCTACCTTTGGAGTTCTTGCTTGGTATTGTAAGTGCTTTGGAAGCACTATGTTAGGTTCTCTCAACAGCCTCATGAGCTAAGAACTGTAATTACTCCCACTTTACAGATGGGTGTGGACTGAAGCAGATCACCTTGACCCGAGTCACAGCTAGAAGAGCGGTGGCACAGACAGTCCCTCCCACGGAACGGACTCTGGTGGAACGTATCCTCTCCCACGTTCCACCCACACCTGCACAAGCACACACCAGTCACACAGACTCCACGTGACAGATGCTAAGGAAAGAAGTCAACTGAAAATACCAACTCAGCCCTCGTCATCTGAAGAGATGCACTTCAAATGGGCTGCCAGGAAAAGGGCATGGAAAATCTTAGCCACGTGAGTTCAGGCGGCAGACAGTTGTGCGGGGCCCAGAGAACAGGCTTGCAGGGCTCAGTGGGCAAGGCCGGAGGGACCCGCTCTCCAGCTCCAGCCACTTCACGCTGCTCCACGAGCAGCCCAGAACCAGGGGGGTGGGCAAGGGCCACTAGTTCCTTAGTGTCTACGTGCCAGGCCATCTGATGAGTGTTTTTCTAAAAATATGCGCTTATGTGACTGAATATATTTGTTTCTTGTCGACCTTCATTTTGTAACTGAGAAAACTGAAGCCCAGAAAGGTCAAGGTTATGGTCGGAGGCCATGCATGCTTTCTCCACTCCATCCAGTGCCCCTTAAAAAAAATTCTCCTCACGAGCGAGAATGCACTCCACATCTTTTTTTTTAAACTTATTAGAAAACTTGCACAGAAAATTTTCATAACACTGTACCACAAGACTGACTTTTTCATTCTTTAATCCTATTAACTTTCTTAGAATTATTTCCTAATTTCCTTTGATCTTTGGAATTTTTGAGAGAGAGAAAACCCAACAGTCTTATAAGGAAACTCAACCTGGGCAGGAATTAAAACCAGGTGATCCCTCTCTAAATGCTCTTTCACCACTGGCAAGCGCATCCGTGTGGATGGGGATTTTTATCTTTATTCGTTGGCAACTTTCGGTCAATAACTGCTATTCACTAAGTGATAACTGACTATTAGAATAAGAGATACGAGGACTATTTCCCTCAATAAAGTGCCCAATTTAGCTCTGGCCAGCGTGGGTCGGTTGGCTGGGCGTCGTCCTGCAAAGCAGATGGTCGCCTGTTCAATTCCCAGTCGGGCACCTGCCTGGGCTGTGGGCCTGGTCCCCAGTTGGGGTGCATGCAAGAAGCAACCAACTGATGTTTTTCTCCCTTTCTCTTTCCCTTCCCCTCTCTCTAAAAGTAAATAAATAAAATATTTTTTAAAAATGCCCAATTTATCTGTTTAGGTTACCTCATTACCAAATTACAAATTCCTAATGGTGTTTCCTCTCTCCTTGGGATCAACAGAACCCTGTCAATCTCTAACAACACTTTTAGAACTAAAACGTCTCCACATTCAGTTTGCTGTCAGGTTAGAATTCTTTTCGGCAGTAATTCTGCCTTGAGTAACCAGCCTACCTTCCTGTGTTTGTGCTCCCAATGCTTGGAATGGAGGGTTTGCTAAGCTGTCGACCAGTTCCTACTCAAGTTCAAGACTACGTAGGTCATGTCTCTAACATACATTCTCCCATAAGGTGAAATAAGTGCTAACCTAAGCACTTCCCCTCTCCCCCCTTACCTAGCTGCCCTCACATAAGTTTTCAAACAAGACAACTAGGACAGGCTTCTGAAGATCTCCCAATATCCTTGTGTGTACCATGTTATCCTGTATCTCCCATCAAACAGAGAGCGGGCCCTACGGAGTATTTACTGTTGACCTTCGTAAAGACTGAGGCAGGTAAGCCAGGTGGAGCCCCTGTGTTCTCACTGCCCTCACTCTCACCCCCCAACCTGCTTGGGGTATAGAATGTGGAGACAGTCCGTTCTTCCCTCTTACACAATATGGTTGAAGAATAAAGTCAGTAAAAATCAGTTTTACAACTGATACCACAATTTCTAGGATGGCCAAAAACCTCATATAAACTTATTTTTTTTTTAAAAATGAGTGAACGACACAAAGAGAAGAAAAAATAGAATATGTTTAAAACACCTGTAAAGTCTCATATTGTTACAAATGAATCTCAGAAGCCTCACTCAATTTTTAGGAAAAAAGGAACTGACAGAAGTAGACACTACTTTTTACCCACGAGATCGGCCAGGTTTGACAGAGCCCCGTGCTAGAGAGAGTGTGGAGAGACGCACAGCCCCCTGGTGTTGGCGGAAACTTAAACTAGTTCAAATTTTATGAAAGATAGCTTGTCAATATCTAATAAAATTAAAAAGGCACAAGTGTCTTGATTCAGCAGATCTACTCACAGAAATTTAAGCTACCGCTACACTCACACCCGTGCAAAAGGGCATGTGCCAAAGAGAGTTGGTACAGCAGTGACCGTCAACTGGTGTGACCGGTGGGCCACCAGAACTTTCAACACACGCAGCCCCTGGCCACTTGTGAGGGTTGCTGACCTCTTCTCCCGTAGACCATCAGGTAAAAAAATGACAACAGCCAACACAACGATAGCTATCAGGCGTGAATGAATCAAAATTATACATTTTTTTTGTCAGCAAAAAATGTATTTTTTGGTGTGCTATAGGCTTATAGTAATTAGTTTATGTGTGCCATGAGATGAAAAACGTCGAGACTCGCTGCACTACAGCACTGCTCATAACTGCAAGACTCAAATAAGGTAAACACCCAATTTGGAACTAACTCATTCTATATCCATACAATCAAATTCTTTTAAAAACTAGATTTCTATGTACTCAAAAGTTATGATATCACTTGTGTAAAAAGGAGGAAAAACACACACACATGTATTTGTCTTGCATATGGTTATCTCCAAGAAAGTTGGGGAACAATACTGGAAGGAAAAATACCATTAAAATGTTGAACCATGTAAATATCACCAACTTAAAAAAAATAAAGTTCCATTTGTGTGATACAAATTTCCGTCTCCTTCCCAGCCCTGCCTCTCCTTTCATAGTCCCTCCAGGCCTGGGCACTGCCTTTGGTAAATTAAACTAGCCCAGTTCCCACCCTGCAGCTGATTTCACTGTCTCCCTTTCAGGCTCAGGGTCAGCCAGCGTGGTCTCTCCTCTCCCCTTTCCCACCCAGAGGGCAGACGGGCTGTAACTGCCTGCAGTGTACCTGGGGGCGAGCCCTCCACGGTCTGCTCACCCTCAGCACTGTGCTGCCGGGCACCTTGCCTGCCATTCCTCTGTGTTTGCAATCTGAGCAGGTATGTCAAAGCAGTATGGCAGGGGCAGGGTGGGGCTGAGGGTGGGGTCCTCATTTTCTCTCTCTAGCGCCCAATCAGTTCATTAGGTCATTCCCAAGCCTAGAGAATTGTCTTTTCCTAAGGGAGATTTTTTGATCTGTAAGGTTGTGCCTCCTCATTTCATTGGAATATATTTTTTCCACTAGTCTAAGAGCAAATTACAATGATTCAATGTCTGTACCCTCCTAAATGACAATGGTCATCAATGGAAAAACCAGGGAGCAAGAAAACAACATTTAACACTGTTGTTAGCTTAACACATGGCCAACTTACCCACTTTGGATAAACCAGCAATTTAGCATAGCAACAGAAAACAAAATTGTGTAATTTGATGATAACCAGGTCCACAGCTTTTTGCAAATAGGATGTAATTCAGCTTCATACTACATCAAGCTATAACTGTCATTAAAGGCATATTGAAAAGGTAATAAAACTTTAACCAAAGCAAACTCTTATACATTCAAATGTTAAAAGATCTGCCGGGTCTAACATTGCAAAATGAAGTTCATTTCTGCTATCCACTAGCCCAAAATATAAGCACTATACTGAACTAGTTCTTGTAAATAGATAAAAAAAAGTTTCAAACTGCTTACTGTCTAGCTTGGTCCTTACTGGAATAGGTTACATTTACGACGGCAGTTTCTGAGTCGGTGTTCACTAGAGGGAGAGAAAAAGGAAGAGAGAAAAAAAAGTTAGTTTTCTTTTTACTTTGCTCCTTTTACAAAATTGAAAGCAATTGAGAAGACTTGTACCTTGCTCACAGCTTTCCACCACTCCATACTGGACTAGTAAACTATCCAGCACCTATCAGGAGGGGGAGAGAAAATTACAAATTTTCAGTTTCCCAAGTTATTAGTAAGGGCAGAAATAAATTTGAAAATCACAAAGAATTGTGATGAAAAAAGAGCCAAAAAAAAAATGTCCTGGGTTTTGGGCTTTGATAGGGAGGGAAGACCGCCAGGGGGAACATCCAGTGAGTGGGCATGTCTCCCCTCCTATCCCAAGATCCCCAACTTCCAGCTCGTGGCCTGTGGATTACCAAGAAGTAAGACAGCTCAGCAAAGTGTTCAAAGCCACAACTGCCTGCTTCTTGAGCTGCAGGAGAAGCAAGCATATATTTCCCATACATACACCAACACATCGGCACACTTCCTCCTTGTATACAAAGTCACGAGACAAGGACCCAAGTTAAGCTTCATCTTTAAGATGTTGCTTTTCAAAGAACTTCCTTTTATAGCTATAATGGGTATAGCAGAACAGACTGCCCTCAAGGGAGGCTTGCAAAATGAAGAAAGAACATTGTGGATATTCTACCTGGAGTCTTTAAAGACTAAGCTAAGTAGAATATCAATACATAGACAGTAAAAGGTATAAAAAAAGAAGTGAACATTTCTAAATCTATATAGGTTGCAAAATGAACAATTTTAAACTGTTTTTACCATCTTTCCTGTAGCCACATACTACACTGTGTGTGTTATTCTAATGAGAAGCTGTTAAAACAGTAACTACATTTTATTATACTATAAACTGCAGGTGTACACCTCATCAGTACAAACCAAATCCAACTGTCCTTAGCTTACTAGAAGCATAAAAACTTTTCTTGAACAGTAAAACAAAATAAGTTTCTATTAACTTATAGTGAGCCAATTTTTCATTAATTTAATTGCAAAAATTAAAGGACAGTCCCTTGAGAATATTTGCTGCCCCCAGAACACAGTAAACCATTAAGAAATACACAGATTTCCTGTCAAAATGGAGGTGTAGGCACACATGGCTCGCCTCTTCACACAACCACAACAAAATGACAACTGACACACAGAATAACCATCACTCAGAACTGACAGATATCCAGTTGAATGGCAGTCTGACAACTACGAACTAAAGAAACCACATCCATCCAGACTGGTAGGAGGGGTGAAGATACAGAACAGGCTGGTACCACTTCCATATAAGGTAGATAAAAATTCAGGAGGGCTATCTCAGGAGCGAGGAGTCCCAGCTCCACACCAGGCTCCCCAGCCCAGGGTTCCAGTGCCAAGAAGGTAAGCCTCCACACTTCTGGATGCAAAAACCAGCAGGGATTGAGTCAGTGGAAGAAACTGCTGGATCCCCAAACAGTTCCTCTTAACAAACCCACACGTGGACTCACCTACTCAGACTTACTCCCTCTGGACGCCGGCAATGTGGTGGTGGCTTGAGGGGCACCAGTGGTAGGTGTACAGGGAGAGGCTGAGGTGTCTGACATCAAGGGGAGCAGAGGCCATTGTCACTTTTCTGGGCTGCCCCTCCTCCCCCAGAACCAGCAGACTGGTTCTAAGATTCCATCAACCTAGCTAACACTAATGACCTGCCTTGGAGATCCCCGGAGACTCTGCCCCACTCAACTTATGGGCCCACCCAAGCTGCTTTTCCATGAATAGCCTTGGTTCACCCATCACAACTTCCTAAATCCTCTCAAAAACATAGCAGCTGGCCTCGGTGAACACCAGACCAGGCACTAGCAGCCTAGGTTCACAGCTTGGCTTTGCCTGGAAATCTCCAAGCCCAGCACAAGTAGCAGCCATCTCAGACTGCTTTATAGCTCAGGCACAGTGGCCCCAGGCAAAACACAGGTGGGGGCTGATCTTGGCCTGAACCACCCAGGAAACCACAGGGCCAGCACACCCACTGGACAGCTACAGACCACCTCAGAGCACCACCACTCTGACCCTGCATAGCTGATCCTCCATGAAGGGTGGAGGTGGTGGTCAGTTGTCAAAGCCAACCCTTGCAGCTGACTAGCCTGGGTAAATCCCTCCCATTGATCTGCCAACAGCAACCAAGTCTCAACTACAAGAGGAGGGTGTACTCAGCCCACACAGAGGGTGCACCTTGAGTACCCTGCTCAGGTGATAGGGGAGGCTGTGCCACCGGACCCTATAGGACACCTAACTGCATTAGGCCACACTACAAAGACACGGAGTCAGAGCAGCTCTACCTAATGCATAGACACAAACACAGGGAGGCTGCCAAATTGAGGAGACAAAGAAACATGGCCCAAATGAAAGAACAGATCAAAACTCCAGAAAAAGAACTAAACAAAATGGAAATAAGCAATCTATCAGATGCAGAGTTCTAAATACTGGTTATAAGGATGCTCAAGGAACCTAGTGAGGACCTTAACAGCATAAAAAAGATCCTGTCAAAAACAAAGGATACACTAATTGAAATATAGAACAATTTACAGGGAAACAACAGTAGAGTGGATGAAGCTGAGAATCAAATCAATGATTTGAAACATAAGGAAGAAAAAAAAAACAACCAATCAAAACAACGAGAAGAAAAGAGAATCCAAGAAAATGAGGCTAGTGTAAGCAGCCTCTGGGACAACTTTAAGCAATCCAACATTCATGTCATAGGGGTGCCAGAAGAAGGGAAAGAGCACGAAACTAGAAATCTATCTGGAAAAAATGAAAAAAAATCTTCCCTAATTTGGTAAAGGAAATAGTCATGCAAGCCCAAGAAGCACAGAGAGTCCCCAACAAGATGATGCAAAGAGGTCCATTTCTAGATGCATCATAATTCAAATGCCAAAGGTTAAAGAAGAAGATGGGGAGGGTGGGTGTGGGAGAATGAGTGAGAGGAGAGGGGATTAAGAAGTACAAATAGGTAGTTACAGAATAGCCATGGGGATGTAAAGTACAGTATAGGAAGGGAAGTAGCCAAAGAACTTATACACATGACCCACAGACAAGACCCTTGGATGCAAATAAAGGTGGGGTGATTGCCTGAGGGAGTGGGGGGTGCTGGGTGGAGGGGGATAAAGGGAGAAAAATCAGGACAATGGTAATAGCATAATCAATAAAATATAATTTTTAAAAAGAAATACACTAAAATATTTATGGTAATTTCTTACTAAACTTTAAGCAATTTCTTCTAAAAGAATATTTATCTTATGTGGTATATTTCAGGATTTTATTTTGTCTACTGATTCCAATTTGAAGTATATAGTAAGGTTTGTCTAGAAATAAGCTTTTATTTTTTTTTCATTTTAAATAAGATTAACACTTATTTGTGAATGGAATAGTTACATTTTTTTCATAGTGAAGATCTGATATGTTGAATTTCCCTTGAGTGGGACCTATTAATAGAAGCACACTAATCTTTGTTTCTAATTATAGCTACTGTTAAATCATAAAGTGTAATTTTTAATACAGAGCACTTAACTGACTATGTGTGTAATTTCATTTGTCCGGCTCGGACACCAGAATGTGCAATCCCTGTGAACAGGAATTTTCTGTTCACTGTATTGTCCCCAGCACCCAGAATGCAGAGGCACACAAGGACATTTGGATAGTTCAAAAGTGAATTTTCTCAGGAGGAAATTTTAGTGTAGCTTATTCGAACAGTACTCTTAATGATTTCAGAGGTGAATCTGACATGCGTGTAATGTTGGTCACTGACATTTTATAAGGAAAAAAAAAGTAGGAAACCTCTCACAACAACATCTGAAGAGGCAACATGTAATGCCTCAAAATCTTTAAAACAGCAAGCAACCTACTTATATTTTTGAAACAAAAGTTTTTTTAATACCAAAAATGTTTTATATGTAGCCTAATAAAATTCGAACAAGGTATTTTAACTCCTCCCCACAGAAGTAATTAAAGCTGCATGAGAGGTGCAGCTACCATTAAAATGTAACTTTTAGCCCTGGCTGGCGTAGCTCAGTGGATTGAGCGTGGGCTGCGAACCAAAGTGTCACAGGTTCGATTCCCAGTCAGGGTACACGCCTGGGTTGCAGGCCATGACCCCCCAGCAACTGCACATTGATGCCTCTCTCTATCTCCCTCCCCTTCCCTCTCTAAAAAAAAATAATAAATAAATAAAATCTAAAAAAAATGTAACTTTTAAATGAAAGCCGCTTTATAGGAAGTTGGGTATCTTGAGGGGCAGAGGTGTGGAGGGGCATGGAGGTGGGGTGGCTAGTGAGTAGGGTGGGGCTAACTGCCGATTTAATATGTTAATTTAAATAAACATCATTCTTAATTCTTCTTGAAAGTAGTTGGTTCAGTAATTAAATACGTTACTCTCCACGCAACTGAGCTTATATGTCCTTAACTTTTGCTACTATAGAGAACTTAAGTTCAACACCCATGATTTATAAGCCATGTGGACTAAACCTGCAAAACTAATTCTAATGAAACTAATGTTCTGCAAAAGGCCTGCTGACAAAGAGACATAAATGATATACACATTTATTTTTATACATGCACACAAATACACACATGCATTTATATGTAAATATATACATATACACATAAACACAAGCATATAAATAACGCAAGAAAATTTTTAACTTAAAAAATTGAGGAAATGTCCATAAAATCTTCACTGCATGTACTGCATAAAGAACAAAATTGCTGGTAGACTCAAACATTCTATTCCTAAGTAATAAAAGTGCTACCGATTACCAGCCATCCTGTGTGTAAAAAATCTCTGGGAAAATAATTAGAAACTACAATCCTATGCACTAAAAATGGTGAATTTGTTCTATGTAAATTATATTTCGACAAACCTGACTTGAAAGTATAAAACAAACTATAGTTCTGAAAAGAAAAATAGGCCCAGCATCAACCTTGGCACTTGGCTGAGGACACGCTCATCAGGCAACCTACGGGGTTTTACCTACACACCAGGGATGGATTGCCACGGGTCTCAGCGGCGTTCACTCCAAGTTCCATGCACACGTTTTGGGGGTGATGACTAGTGGGAGATGGGGGAAAGGTTGTCCATAGCCCCATCCGTTTCACAAATCCGGGAAGGGT